AAAAAGTGTTATAGAATCTCATTGGTCTTCCAATGAAACATGTGGCAGAATGGGCAGCAGCAAGTAAGTCAGGAAATGCGCAGTTTCCTTGCATGCAGGGTGAATAGATTGAAGGGCATTGTATAGACGTGGCATGAGTGAGGTAACTGAAGAAATCTAGATAGCTTTGACATCGTTGACACTGAAATTGCGGAATTAGCAGCATCAAGCTGACAATAGTTGTGAGGGTAACTGATGTGATTGCCTCTTCAATATGTTCAACCTGCCCGCACTAACCGCTTTTCGTCCAGAACGTGCTCCCGGTTACAGTCTGCGTGGTTGGAAATACAAGTGTTAAATGCTCAATCGCCATTACTGAAAACAACACACGTTTACCTAAGCAAGCAACTTGTGCAGAAATATCACAGGTGTAAGAATAAGCATTTTCGTTGGTCCAAATTACTGTTCAAGAATTGTGTTGGTCTTAGAACGCGGAAATGGATAACGTTGGATGGCGACGCAGGAGAGAGTAATTGCCTTGTGCCATCATGTACTGGATGTGCAGATAAGTGGGTATTGAATAGGACCGTAGAGGCTGGGTCAATTGACGAGATAGAAAAAGTTTCGGCATCATTGTCAGTTACATCGTGGAATTATCAGCAGCAGCATCAGCTGCATCGGCAAGGTATGAAGGTTGTGGATTAAGCAAAACTGTCTTGTTTCATTGCAAGGTCGCCCTCTCGCTTTGTCTTGTTGTAGTGACAAGTCTTCAACCAAATCTTGATCTTTAAAAAACAGCGCAACTGGATTTAATCACGTGTTTTTATTTACGGCATTACCTACAAACACTTTTATAATACTTTTACGCTTCTGTAACACGTTGGTCAATTTTTCATGCCTGGAGGTGCATTCAACCCTTGCATCATCTGCTCCATCGGCTGCCATTACCGGTGACACACTTGAAAGCTATCAGACTACGGTTATACGAAAATGCAACCCATGAAGCGACGCTGCATGTCATACGACGACTTGCCACTCGCAGAAAATTACTTCGGTCAATAGACTAAATTTAGGCTCACTGAAATCGTGTGTAGCCACTGAAACCAGTAATTTGTACCTGGCAACATTCAAGCACAGTTACTGCTACACATTTATGCAAGCTGCTTACCTGCTTATCGAAGAGACCTGGACGTCTAGCCACTTGATTGCGCCCATTACGATAGGTGTGTTTATCTTTAAGAAACCACTGTTCCAGTCACCTAGTTGGTTCCTCTTTAAAAAAAAACCACTCGTGGTTCGTCCCTTCTCTGAGATTTCGATGGCAAATTGTACATGGCTTCGTCAATCTGGCCATCAAGTGTGAACGTTGATGCATGCCGGGTGTGACATATCGTGGTAGAATTGCAATTTGTCGAGCCGGTTTGCTGACGAACCTGCATTGCAGCATTGTGGAAATCAGTGTGTGGCAGTAGAGTGGGAGTGAGGAGGTTTGCAGTGAAGCTAAAAGGACTAAGGTGGGTATTGGAATGAGCTACGTGAAACGGACCATTATAATTTAGCGGGTTAGCTAGGCCTTATTTGGTGGCAATTCACATGTAAAAACATGAACGGCCTTAGTGTTTAATGTGATAAGTAAAATTATGCGACTGAGAACTCAGACCATCGTCTTGGCAATGGCGGACACACCGGAAGACGTACAATACGCAAGATGTGCATGCTATGCCGTCAATTCTCTTGCTGTTTGTTGGACCTCACCTACGTACAATCCACGAATTGGAGCAAGCGATTTGGCAGATGCAGCAGAACATCAACATGCAAGCGGATCTCAAAAACAGCATATGCTTAATGCAGTTCATCAACGTAACGCGTATCATGTCACGAAATCACATACCTTGTAGGGTTGGACGGTGTCAAGAACTAAAAAACTAATGGCTACATTTGAAGTCAGCGCATGACCACTACCAGCAAACCAGTGGTTCCTTTCGACGCTAATAAACAATTAGTGCATTAAGGAGCAGAATTTGGCTTAAAAACCTGCGATAAAGATGGCTGTGAGGCAAGAAAGGGAGCGTGTTGCAAAACGTACAAATTTAGCAAGAGTCTAACCGTCAGGGGTAGGAAGGGCTTGCGACGAATGCTAAGATCAAGTGATTCGTTTTTGCCCATCGTTTTTTTTCCCAGTCGGCCTATCGACGACAGACGACGTGAAGTGAGTTTGAAGAGAAGCATGATCCTCGCTGTGGCGTCTACTAGGAGGTTCAATGTGGAAAGGAAGTGCTTTGATGGCGATGTGTTTGCTCTGAAATTGCTCTGATTTGGACACAAAAGTCCACGTTTTTTCTACCTCGGTGTCTATTTTAGGGTACTGGCTGAGTCAGACTAAGTCAGCTTGTTGCAGCCAGTTTGTAGTGATGATCTGGGAATATCGTTTGCTCCAATGAGGCGTGAATTGATAAATTTAGGCAAAATGTGTTGGTCAACGTAGGCGTTAAATAAGGCCGAGCGCATTGTTCACAATTCCGATGTGCACTGGAGGTCTTGATTTGGTTCCAGCTTCGTCGGTTGAAAAAATGCGGCAGTAAACTGAGTGACTTGCTGTTAATACTTCCTCGATGTCAGCGGTGATCATGTCGAAACGAAATGGATCTCAGTAATTGACTCACCCTATTCACGTCCAATCAATGCGTTCAGATCTGTGCATGCCGTATTCGATGACACAATTTGTTTGGCATCAAACACTCTGCTATGCTGTCCAAAATTGCATTGACAACGGTTACATTGGCACATAATCTTGGTTACGGAACAAACTTTAACAAGAGATTGGAGCCAGTCCAAGCATTTGTTGTCTGTGGTGAAGAGACCAGGCGTTGCCCCCCTAACACAAACTGTTCTCTTCGCATAACGAAAACAACCAAACGTGGAATGCCGGCGATTAGGAGTAGTTGTGAGTGCAAAAGACTTTACTAACATTTCATTGCAAACAGAGTGTATAGATTAAATGGCATGGTATTGACGTGGAAAGAGTGGGTTAATTTAAGACATCCCGTAGGCTTTGACATCGTTGACATTGAAATCGCGGAATAAGCAGCATCAAGTGGATAATGGTTGTGGAAGTCACTGATGTTAGAACAAACTTGGTTTGTTTCGACGACGGTCGAACCAGTTCTTGACCTACAATGCATTTCGAACTGAGATCAATTGTTGCCTCTTTATTCTCGGCTTTGCCGAATTCCAATTTTGTGCGATCTAACTAATTACTTAGCCACAATTGTGTCTTTGACCCACCGCATAATCTTCTTGACCCGCTGCCTTTATCAATGGGACGCTTACAAATTACACGAACATGGTGTAGCGAACATCCATCCATCGAATTGACACGGTAAGCCTCGCCGCAAATTGACAGTCTATTGCTAAATGCTTCGTTCGATAGTTTAGAGGTAAGCTCATTCAACTCGTAAATAGTCACCTTAACCGGTAAATTTATTGGCTTCATGCCTGTGATTAAGCTGTACGAATTCTCCTCATGCCGTTTCCACTGACAAATTAACATTCCGGTATTGTGAATCCCCACACACCCACACGGACACCTCCTGGCCTGTAGCATTCCCTTATCTACACAAACCATTAATCTAGCCAACTAGTCAGTTGCTCGTCTACAGGCTCATTCAAAAAGAAATGGTAAGCCAGGTCGCTTCTCACCAACGACGTTAACTCAGAGTGATTGGAGGTCTCGATCTTGAAACACAAACTGACGTGGATGAATAGATGGTTGTACGTAGACGAGTGTTTCCATGAACGAGGGGCGTCATTTCTTGAGGCTCCAGTGTCAGATATCTCCTAGTCTGTGGCGATGAGGTAGGTTCATTTTAAAAATTAATGGAAGAGTGTTGAGGATTGATTTCTGTGGTGCGGATCTGTGACAGATGTAGAGATGAAAGTAGCGAGTAGGTCAACGATGATGGAGGAGTAATTGCATTACAGAGTAAAGTACTTTCTTGAGGCCCCATAGTAAAGTAGTTGGTAGGCCTTGGCAATAAAGTTGACGGAGGTTGAGTGTCAGCCATAGGAATTGACGCAGCGTTTTCTATGGAGAGGTCTTGTGGCTATAGTGCAGATGGAAGTTACCGGCATGTCAAAGGGAGAGAAGCGGTGCTATAAAACTGGGGAGGCATTTCCTGACAAATCATCGACGAATATTTTTGGGCGCTCGCGGCAATGTTGAAAGGGGATTGGCATCACTCAAAGAAAGTTAGCTACATGTTTTTGTGCAGGAGGTCTGTGACAATTGCTCGGATGGAGTTTGCAAGTACGTTACCGTTTGCGGAGCAGTCCTTAGATCGATGGGCAACAATTCCTCTGGGTTACTCGGCAAAAAACATCTAGGCTTTGACAACAAGGTGTGCGTAGTTCGACACCCACTCAAGGGAAAACGGCAATTATTTTCTGGGAGTTGGATTTGTGGTGATGGCTGGAATGGATATCGCAAGTACGTTAACGTTTGTGTAGCAGTGATATCGATTAGCTGCAGCGTTCCCGGGGTTTGTGCTAAAACTTTCCTGGTTTGAAATTCAATCGAATTAAAGTGGGTGTTAGAAGTAAGCGACGTATATGTAAATGTATTATCAACACCATCGGCTTCACACGCAACACCTGACACATTTATTACCCCATGTTGCAACATTTGCTCCAATCTCCACGCTGGCTTTGCGCAATGCTATCACCTTAGAGACTTCAACTCCCTCTAACTAAAACTTCGGTGCGCCTACTTATTGGCATGCATGCTCACCATTGCACATATTTCGTCTAACCGCATCTACTTTGATTACCTTCTTCTTGGCAGCGTTGTTTAAGAACATCGAGCGCATCTCCACAGACCAACGCAAAATCTGAACGACTGTAAGAATGTACCGTGGCGAGCTGTGGTTTCCCGCACCTAGGCGTGCACTCGTGTTTTTGGATAGCGCTTCGCATGACCCATCCTCGGAATCTCATAATTCCCCAGGTGCAATGTCAGGTGGTTCTTACGGGTCATCACTGCAACACTCTCTATGCAGTTCTTTGGAATTACTCAGTGGATGTTGGGCCTTCCCCGAACCCGACCCAATCATGTCTTCGGCGTCACTCTGTGGAGGTGGGACGAGCCCCAAACCCAACCCAGGCATGTCCTCCCAAATATCGCCTGAACCTTGTTTATCACCGGTTCCTTGACAAACTTTATTGATCCCGAAACCTTCACGAACTCTGACTCCTGTCAAATCGATGCCAAATTTCTTAGCACACGATCCAACAAATCCCATTTTCTTGAGGTTGCCGTCATGCCTACAAAAGCGGATAGAATGCATTGGTCTTTGTTGTCAATTTGTCCTCCCATGTGCCAAATTGCGCTCACGCAATCCAACAGGTAACACTTCAATTTGTCCAACGTGTGCCTTTTATGTTGAACCCTCGTTTACATCGTGTTGCATGGATGCACAATATTGCATTACAACAATATTTCTGGTGTACTGCCGCCTTCAATTTGTCTAGCTTCATTTTGGCTATCGTAAGGGTGCAAAATGCTCCACGTTACACCTCTGTTGGTATGCATCCAAAAGGGGCTTATTGTTCTCCTTAAAATGTGAATTTCTGTGCGAAAACCCTATTGTGACTGTATCCAACCCGGAAGCACGTGGTGGCTTTTAATGACAACCTGCTTGTCTCACTTCCGCGAGCTCCACCAAACAACTGAGGGCCATTTGCGTGTGGGTGTATGTGAGCGTCGGTGTGCGAAAACTTTGTGTTGAGTGAAGTGCGGGTGAGATGTGCAATGTGCCTAGGATCTGTACGTGAGGATCTAGAAGTGGTAGTTGGAGTCAGTCTGTCCTTCGAAGACGGTTGTTAGTGCGCAATACAAGAGCCGTCTTTAAGATACCAGATGGTTTGACAGGAAAGTGGCAGTTTGCTCGCATCAAATCTAACCTGGAATAGGCACATCTGTCGAGTAGGTTCAAAGCAAAGTCATGCAGATTTGGTAGTGAATAGGGATCAGGTGTGATTGTTGCGCAAAGAACGCCCGATAATCACCGCATGGACGTCATTCACCCTCAACTTTATTGGCAACCATGTGCAACGCCCATGACCAGTTGCTGACTGATCGTAGCACTAAGCCAAGCTGCAGCATGTAATTGAAATAGTTGTTCAGACATCGAGTATCTGAAATGGGGAAGTGTGCGTAGTTGAGAACATTGACGTGTTTACCGCTTGTCGAAATGTCGTGCCTGACCGTGTCGGAATTCGGTAAGTTGGTAAGGTGATAATCAAGAAGAACCGGCTGCAGACCTCGAGCGATTTTGCCTAGATGAGTTATCAGATCCTCTGCCTCTGATTGGTCTGATGGACATGGCATTGTCTGTCGCTTTAATCCTGACTAGTTGGTTCTTCAATTGAGCGAGTTATTTTAATGCGCTTTCGATTGATGGAACATTATAGTGTTGTTGAGGTGTCTAGGATTAACCTTGATAACGCGTCAATTGGTTTGCATCAAATATGAGGTCTTTGGTGTTCAACCACTGCTCAAGGGTTGACACTTCCTAAAAATGATCTGCAATTGGATCAACGATATTTGGTGTCTGACTGAGGAATTGCAATGCGGCGTGTTGTCGTTAAGGAGCTGATGCATTTTCCGCAGAATCTGGGTTGGCCTTCGATCTCCTTAATCATCACGCGTCAGAATGTTGAGAGATGCGTACGGTTGAGGATTTCAGATTTCAAATGGTCCTAGGTGCTTACTTGTCGGGGTGAATCAGCACGGCCGATACCTCGTCTGCCAACTCACTGGTCAGGGCTGTAACAAGACGTGAGTACTTTGCATACCGACTGATGATGTTAGCTCCGTGTAATTGCGATTCCAAAATGGCAAACCAACCTGACACAGTATCTGGCTGCTTTATGCTTATTCCTCCTACATTAGTAAAATGTAGATTCTGATGACTGTAAATGTCGATGTCACCAAAAAAAATAAATGAAACGAACGAGAATACCATGTTTACAGCGTGTTAGTGGATACATTAGGGAAACGCTTGACACAACACGAATCAAAACTCGGGAAAGGAACCAGTTATGCGACACAGCTGTTCTTGGTGTCTGTAACCTACCCGTTCTGATGACGCAACAAGTGTATCTGTTTGTACACTGACGCTGTAAAATCCTCACCACATTATTAGATTATAACTACCGGCTGACTAGTTTTGCATGTATTGAGTACTGCGTTAGATAACGATTGTGTCGCCTCCATCTGCTCTCTTCCCGGGAGTCTGCAGAGGATTTAAAGGACGGTCTATCAGCGTGAGTTCGAGGGACAACGGATATGTCGGGTACGCATGTCTGTTAGACGAATCTTTGGACTCAAAGCATTAATTTGGGACACGATTCTTGTGGGTTGAGAAGCAACGTCATCAGACAGGCCACATAGTCACCCCTATTTCATGGGACCACCCATCAAACGTCGACATACTTGCAAAATCCATCTGCACCATGGTCACAAGTAATCCCTCCAGAAAGCACTGCGCCAATTCAAATGGCTGGTACCAAGCTACATCCACTGCATTACCAGGGCCTATCATGTACTACAAGATGGGGCCTCATAAAAGAACACCACTCTCTCATGTCCATCATCGTCGTCCTACTCGCCACCTTGATCTCTACAACTGTCACTGGTCCATCCCACATAAGTGAATCGTCGTCGTCGTCGTAGTCATAAAAGAGGCCGGTGAAAACAAAGGCAGAATGTGGGAGATACCAATCAGCTTGACGTAAATCATTTCCGTTAATCCGTTTTCTTGTACTTATCAACGCAGTACGATGGTTCGCGTGAAGGATCAAGCGTAGTTAGG